ATTTTATAAATTACCCTTGATTTGAAATTTTCCCCTTCCTCCTGTGTATCAATTGTATTGTCTGTCTTGATGTTTGGCAGTGGTGAGGTTGGTGAACTCACTGTTTCATTTCCATCAAAAAACTAAAATAATAGATATATTAATTATTTTTTTTTTTACAAGTGGTATAAATATTTTTTTTACTTACCTCAGGTGAGATTTCCACATTCCACCGTTGTATTGAATGTTCAGCTAATTGCGTTAATGCATACATTTTAAGCTGACTAATGAAATTAAAATCATGTTTAGGACTGTTTGCAATAATATGACCGTCACGAACATTTTTGATAAATATAACCATTTCTTCACTCGTTCTTGCCGTTGAATCCATTTTGTTAAGTTCTCTATCGAGATACTCGGTAAATATTTCAAATTGATTTAAAATGATTGGCTGCATGATAGTTGATTTTCGTACAATTGTTTCAAAAATACACCATTCCAAGTATTGAAGTTGTATGAGTTCCACGCGATTTAAAAGAACTCGACATCCATTATGTTTCTTAGACTCTATTACTAAGGTGTTTTCACCACTATACATCATGCTGGATAATTTGAAATTCTCTGACTCGAGAAATATGGTTCTTTTATATTTTCCTGGTTGCTCCAAAATAAATGAAAGGATATTACCCATCAGTGAAAATATCCGTTTTAGAAAATCCGTTGAAATATTAACATAACGTGATGGTGTAATTATATGCACTGCTACTCTGAACATATCACTCGGATCGATGCCAATATGAATAAACTTACGTTTGACGAAGTTTAACGTATAGTTAGTAGAATCGATGAGCTCCGAAGGTGGTGTTGGTGGAATATATGTAAAGGATTTCTTGTATATACCCACATTATCCATGATTGAACCGGCCATGTTTAGAAACACTTGAAAATTGAATTTTTAAATAGTGTAAATGATTTTAAGTATGGAAAGAGAATAACGACTAGTCGGTAAAGGGATTGTATTACAACTGATGATATTGTTGTCACCACTCTACTCTATTTATACCTAAAATATTGTGATGAAATAGGTTTAATAGTTTTGTTTACTACATACAGATCGTTAAAAAGTAATTAAAAGTTGTACACTTTCACATTTCACAATATAATTTAACTCAAAGGGGGGGGGGTATGTATAGATGGTTAGGTATGTACGTGATGGTCATGGATGAGAGGGGGAGGGGGAGGGCACTGCCGGGCATTGCCGGGCGCGTACGCGTACGCGATAGACTATAGGGCAGGCGGGGTAATGGGTTTTACGGGTTTTGCGGGGGACCCAGAACACCCTAAAACATACTACTATATCATATCATATATATCAAGTAATATTTTTAATAACCACAGATCAGAATTCATAAATATAGTTATTTAATTATTTTCATTAACAGTTGAGAAAACCAAGTGGGCCATTCACATTAAACACAACTATACATATTTTTATATTTTATTACTCATAACTATTTCGAATATTATTTGTTTTTTGCAGAGAATTATGGTGTGTATACTTTAATTTTAATACTATACTTATTATTTTCATTCCTATAATTATCTCTTCTCCGAAGATGACAAGTTTTTAAATTGTATTACTCATAATTATTTTGTACATTATTTGTTTCTTTGCAGGAGAAAAAGGTATTTTAGTATTTTTTTATATTTTAGTATATGGTTCAAACGAGAATCACTGTATAGTTTTACGGACCCTGATATCGTTCAAAAGCGTAGTTTTTACCTACTTGTTTGATTTGCTATGCCATATTTAATATGAATAAATAATTATTAAAGTCGAAAATAAAAGTTTTTAACAATTTGAAAGACTTCTTTTTAAATTAATTATGATGTATAACACACATTATAAACATAAATCATATTGACTTTGATACTCAATAATGTAGTACATCATATGAATTCTTCTACACATCAGTGACTTATCGGTTTTTTATGCATGCAGTACTATGAAAACAGAAAAAATATAGTTCTTGTCCTATTTATAAATTTATTGGTTCGATCTTGCAGGTACCTAAATATAAAATATAATCTATTATTTAGAAATGATGTCTTATTGTTCATTCGAAAACAAAAAGTTGCCAAATTAAAAAAAATTGTTTTCTAATAAATATTTTTAATTTACGATTATTCATAACTAGCCCTAAGTTACTGCAGTAACAATAAAATTATAATTATTTATTTCTCTAGATCAAATAGGTAAGTAAATATTATGTCATTTGAATTAATTCGTAGTTTAGTAATTGTATTTGTGTAAGATTTTAAGTTTGTATTAACAAATTACATGTGCTTGAAACCCACTTTTTGGTGTCAAAATTTGGTCCCAAAATATAACGGGGTTTGGGAATCTGTTATATTTAGATAATTCAGTGGGGGTTTTCGGAGCCCTTTGAATTATATTTTAACCGTAATGCGTGGTATTTTTTAATCTAGACGATCAGTATTTAAAAAAAAAATATTACCATACCCACCAACCTCCTATTTATAATTATTACTTACATGGCCTGTGTTATGAAACCAGTTACTATAAGCATTTCTGCTTCGATTATAATTGTTATTAATAATGTCTACGTTTGGTAAACAATTATTATAACCGTTCTTGCTCCAATTACTATTGCTAATTCCCTGGTCAGCACTTTGAAGAAAAAAAATTAACATTCGAAAAATAATTATCTTTTACAATTTTGGCATTGTCATAGCTTTAAGTAATTTAATAAAATGTTTTAAAGTATTCACCTCCACAGTAAGTTTTTTCTTTGCCACAATAGGGTCTTCTGTGATTCTCAACAATTTCGCCAACTCATACTTTTCTACCCACATAAACGATTTGATTCACGATTAACCAACCACCCAAAATACCCTAATATCAGCACTAAATTATGATTCCATTAGTGCACATCCTCCTCACAGGGTAAAGGGAAGATGCTGTCGTGTTTAAACAACAATTAAAAAAGAGGAAAAAGAATTCTATAAATTAAACAAATTTTTTTTATAAAGTCTAGCTCTTGGCTGAATTCTTTTTTCACGCGTCACATGAAAAATGAATGTGTACAGATCAGCATACATGTTTATTGTAAATTTAAATTACAGATTGTATGTTTTAAAAGAAAGTTAAAAAAAAAATTATTGAATAATAATGCAACAATTATTTATTTAATGTCATACATTAAAGATACACAGATTACACAGATTTCACAAATCAAGTATAATACAAGGCCCGTAAAATTATTCAAATAATTATAAATATTTCTTTTCTTATTTATAAAATTCTAAACTAATTCTAACTAAATGATCGCGTTGCTCTATAATCTTTGAAAATTACTCTTTTAGTTATTTTTATCCATTTCATTCGAAGGCACTCCTGTCTGCTCCCATTACTTCTTATATACTTTCATTACCTTTTGATCAGGGATGTAGTGGAGGGTATGCGCAGGTATGCGCCGCATACCCACTTTCCAAATTTAAAAAAGAGAGCATACTCAAGAAAAAAACTAGAGACCGCAAGTATGCTCTGAAAAACGTGCGTATACCCAGCATTAGCCACTTGGTCACTTCACAAAAATTGTCTTATGTCAGTAGGCAGTAATCATTTAATTCTATAACATAATATTATTATGTCTAAAGGTGCGTTTACATTAGGCCGCGAACGCGAACGAACGCTTGCGAATGCTACCGAACGAATGCGAACGCATATTCGCTAGACATTCGGTCGTGACCGTTTACATTGTTCGCTCGTTCGTGTTCAACTGTCTTCGCTTCTATAAAAATCTTCGCTCCTAAATACACATTTAGTATCGACAAAGCTGCTGTGAAGTAAAGACTTTGTTGATTTTTTTAAAAATTTTAAGTGAAAGTTAAAACCTGGGCAAAGATCATTTGTATTTAATTTGAATATTTGTAATTTTTATACTTAAAATGTCATCAAGTGAAGAAGATGATTTGTTAGTAGCTGCTTCAAGTTTTGTACTCATGAAAGCATTAATAAAAAAAACATCAAAGACAAAAAGAAAACGACGCTGGTGGATGACTACATTGTATAGAAATAGAGGATTGTATAGTGGAACTATGTTGCTAAACGACCTACAAAAAGAAGATGGTGATCACTTTAAAACATGTTGTAGAATGTCATACGAAACATTTAACCAATTACTTACCTTAGTTGAGCCTAAAATTCGAAAAGAAGATACTAAGTTTCGAAAAGCTATACCCTCTAAGGAACGGTTGGCATTAACATTAAGATACTTGGCGTCAGGTGATTCATTTGCAAGTTTATCATTGGTTTTTAAAATTTCAAAGTCATCAATATCCCATATTATACCAGAAGTCTGTACAGCTATAATTGAGGTTCTACAAGACTACATACAAGTAATTATGTTTAATATATTATTATAATTATAAAATCAAAATAAATATATTCTTTTTAAAAAACAATATGGATACACGTCATAATGTCGCGGTAATTTTGTCGCCGTAAAAATGTCGCCGTTAAAATGTCGCGAACACAAAAATGTCGCGAATACAAAAATATCGCGATGTCAAAAATATATATATTGATTTTATAGAATACAGAGTAGTACTACACATACACATAACCTTACAACGTAAAACGAACACAGATTACAAACTGCTCGTCGCAGTGTTCATTATCGAATTTATACTTTATATTGATATTTTAAAATTAGTTACAATGATATTATGATAAGATATCTGGTATTTCTAGCTGATAAAATTGTGTCCAGAAATAATCTATATATCGAATAATTTTATAATGTACAGAGTACACAAAAAAATAATAATAATTAAAAATGTTGTAATAAATAAAATAATAAATTGTATTTTTATGTCAATTGATATTGGAAGTTATACGAAATTCCACGCAGGTAGTCGTTAATTGATCGATTTTCATAATCATCACATATGGCTTTAAGTCAAATTGCAGAATCTTTGTATTTTTTCTTTTTCGGAGGTTTGATGCCAGCAATATACTGTTCAACTTTTAGACGGTTTAAGCTTTCTTCTTTTTTCAGTGAGTCGATAAAAATCCAAATAGATGGATGACGAGAACTTAACATCGAACTAAAACAATTATGCCAACCCTCGACTGA